GCTGATCAAGTGGACCAGACGCGTTGTGCTTAATATGGACCTTATTTAAAAACACACGAGATCAATAAAAGACCAACCAATAAAAATAAAACAATTGACGTGTTATCATTGGTTGAGACGAGACATATCATCATCTTCAACCTCCAGACACCCTGCAAATAGGGCAAACCTCAAGTCACTGAATCTTAAAATTTAGGCGCTCATAGTGGTACCAATAGACGCGTCTCTTCAAGACGATCACAATAATATCCTCGCGCCAAATTTATATAAAACACAGCGTAGTCGATTTGGAAAAAATCAGGGATGTTTAAAAATGTCAAAATCGAAAATCAGAAGTATCAAATGCACTGTTTCTCCAAAATTGAGTTAATAGCAAGCATCAGTGAACATCATAGACCATTTCAGTAATTTGAGTTAGAATATTTGGTGCCTTAAACTACCTGGACGAATTCAGATGATGTTGCTCTGCAATTGGACTTGGCTAGCACGATTCTGGGCACCTCAAGGCTTGATTCTTTTTCTATTAGCTTCAGGGAAGTTCAAGGATGAAGGATTAAGGAAGAAATTGAATTGGAAAGTGGTAGAAATAAGAATTTGAAATCTCAAAAAAGGGTGTTATTGAGAGAGTTTGACAGAGTGATTTTGGATCTTCAAGCTTGAGAAAATGAATGAGGGATGATCCTCTATTTATAGGGAAGTGAATGGAATGCTCAAGCGTGTGAAATGATGAAGTTTGGAGGGAAACCGTGTGAAGTTGTAAACAAGAAAAGTATGACTTGTAATTTGATCAAAACTCATCTAATTCTTGCGTTTTATCATGCTAATCACTTCTGGAGGTTCACTAAACGTGATTAGAAGCAAAAACGCAGCAATTTTGTGTTTAGAAACCAAAACAAGGATTTCAAATTCTGACTTTTGGAGAAATTTCAGTTTCAAGTTACCAAATTCAAATGAATGGCATTCTGAACTCAAGGGGTCTTAAGACATGATTCTTGAAGCTTTATAAAGATGAGGTTACAATATTTATAATGTGCAAAGAATGAGATCAAATGGATGCTTGAGCTGAAAGTTGTGATGAGTCAAAGTTGAGAAAAAGAGGTTGACTTTCTATACTTAGAATTTTTTTTAAGTTTTTCTCAAAAAATGACTTATAATCTCTTGCATCCAAACATGATATTCCACTTGAAATTTTCTCTTGACCAGAAAAGATGGCATGAAGTATATCTCTTGAATGACATTTTGAGACTTGAACCATTCAAAATCTCCAAAAATTAAGTTATGACTTGTTGAATTTGGAAACAATTCATGAAATGACATATAATCTTTTGCATCCTTAGGGCATCTTTCATCCATTTTCACACTTTACACTTAAAAGATAGGTTGAATTTCACATCTTTAAGATCATTGTGGAAAAATAATAGGCTCAAGGTGATAAAAATTGACCAAGTTATGCTCAATTGAAATCACCTAATAGAATTTGAGGGTTCATTTGGAGGACTTATAATCTTTCTTCATCATCAAGTTTCTTCCACACAAAAGTTTCTTGAAATTTTTGAACTGATTTGTTAATAATCCTTTTAAGAGAAGCATGTCTTTGGAATCACTCAAAAATATCAAAAGATGAGTAAGATATACCCCTTTGAGGTTCAAAACCCTAGCTCCTAGAGCAAGAAAATGCCTTGGGAAACCTTTGCAATTTTGACCTATCTCCTTAGACAAATACTTTTGTCATGTGAATATGAGTTGTTGAGGATGATAAGGAGAAAACATAGCAACCAAAACCACTTTCTAATCTTGAGAATTGAAGGAGATGTGCACTTGTGATTAATGAGTCAAGGATTTGCCTAATTCAGTCAAACTTCTTCAATCAATCTTTACACCTTTGAACCATCTTTGACAACTTAAAGTATGATGAATCATAATAGACTTTGTTATGATATTGCTTCAAAGTATCTTCAATGTTGAGGCTTGAGTCTTAATGAAGCTTTGTTGAGGAAAGCATAAAAATGAGTTCATGAATCAATAGATCAATCTTGATGGAATGTGTTGTGCTTTCACCTATAATATCATCAATTAGGGAAAAAATTCATTGTATTTATTAGTTAAAAGATAATCAAAATATAGATGATCACAAAATACAAGTCAAGGTGCTTGGTGATTCCCCATAGAGCAAAGCTAAAGATAGGAAGAAGAACTAAACCCTAGTGTGTGATTTTGTTGTGATTAAATTGATATGATGTAATAGAGGGATCTTAGGATCAAAAATTGAGGTACAACAGGGGGTGTGGAGGAAAAGAGGAAGATCCATTGGGTTAGTTGGAAAAAAGGTTACTTTACCATTGGAGAAGGGTGGCTTAGGCATAAAAAATTTGGCGGATTTCAATTTGGCCCTTCTTAATAAATGGCAGTAGAGAATTTTGCAAGGTCAAAATGCCTTATGGTTCAAGGTGTTGAGAGCTCGTTATGGCGACGTGTTGGTAAAGGCGTTGTTCGGAGGTGTTCTCTCTAGTTTCTCCTCTTCCTCTTCTTGGTGGAAGGATATTCTTAAGATTAACAAATTTTCTCTCGAGGACCCCATCTTTTCCAATTGTAAGTTTGTCATTAGGAATGGTTTCAAAACGCCTTTTTGGGAAGCGATGTGGTTAGACGAATTTCCTTTAAAAGAGGTTTATCTGGAGATTTTTGCGATTTCTTCGTTGAAGGAGGTGACGGTGGCGGGTATGAGAGGTTGGATAGATGGTGGGTGAAATTAGGGGAATTTGGGTATTGTTGGAAGGGATGTCATTCCATCTATGTCGGATAAGGTGGATCGTTTGAAGGAGAGGTTGGAAGTGCATGATAATTTATCGGAAGGAGCGGATGAGGTTATTTGGTGCATCAACTCGAAAGATGGGTTTACCGTTTCTTCTTGTTATAATTGTTATGCTAGAAAGAGAATTCCTTTTGGGCCATCTAATAAGTATGACAGAGTTTTCGATCTAATTTAGAACTTGGAAGTACCTTTTAAAATTAAGTCTTTTGGTTGGAGGCTTTTCCTTGATAGGCTCTCTACTAAAAAACAATTGGCGGTTAGAGGTATTTCTTTTCCTTTGAATTCTCTTGGTTGTTGCTTTTGTGGCACTCTTGTGGATAGTAGGGATAATTCTTTTTTCAAGTGTGAAGTGGTCAATTCTATTTGGTTGGATATAGCTAATTGGGTGGGTAAAAGGGAGGTGAAGTTGACGGAGTGTCATTCATATTTTATGAATTGATACTTTTTTTGTAGAGATAAAAAAGTGAAAGAAGGTAAATTGGGTGTTATATGGTTAACAAGAGTGTGGTGTATATGGTTGGTTAGAAATGGTTTATGTTTTAGGAATGTGGTTTGGAATGTGAATAATACGGTTTGTAGCATTAAATCTTTGGCTTGGAAGTGGTCTTCTTGCGGTAAGATTACACATTCCAATTGTATTTTCTACGAGTTCAACAATGATTCTTTATTCTTCTTGTCGTAGTGTGTAATTGATTTATAATTTTTCCGATTTTTTTGGGTGGTGTTTTGACCACTTCTCTATGTAATAGGTTGGAGAACCCTTAGTTCTCCGTTTAATATATTTCTTGATTACAAAAAAATATATATATAATTTTTTTCCGTACTCTTTTAATTAAAAAAAAAATAATTTTTTTTATTTTTTATTTTAAAATATTATTATAATATTTTATTATTTACTGTATTTATGAACGGTGAAATACGGTGTAAATATAAGAATTAGTAAATTATAATATCACTATTACTATTATTATATATGTAGGAGTATTTTGTAACTCTAAAATCTTAATTCATTCAAATAATTAAGTATATAATAAATTAACTTGTATTCATATAGCAAATAGATTTGACCAAATTGTATAACCAAATAACATATTCATTATTTTCTCTTTTGTTTATGATGAAGTGACTTATATTGTAGGATAGATAGACTACTATCTCACAAGGGAACAGAAACTACATCTGCACGTCAAGGCAACCGTACGTTGTCTCCATAGCCCTTTACTTAAATGTTTCACATCCTTCACATCTTCAGCTGTCACAAACTCATGTGACTCTCACATGTACTATAAGTTTCAGTCAAATTCTCCCACGTGCAATGCTTAATTGTTCATCTATATTTTCATGTGATTTTCAGTGCCAATTTCTATTATAAAATCATACTTCTTCAGAGTATGCTTTTCTCATGCTATTCTTTATCATTCTCCTACCTTCATATTTACAAATTTCTAAATTTTTCAGTTGACATTTTTGCTTTCATTATGTGCAAATCTCGTATTCTCTAAATATAACTATGTGTTAATGTTAATCATGGTTTAGTTTAGTTGAGACAAAACAATTAAAAAACCTATTTAATCAATGATTAAATTATAATAAAAAATCATTATAAAATCTTATTTAACAACAGTTTAACCGTGATAAATTTAAAATTTTGTGCTATAATCTATCTTACATATTTTCAAAGACTTCAATGAATTATAGAGTTTAATATTTATATTCACTATTAATAAAACGGCAAAACTCTTTTTCAAAACAGTAACATTTTCTAGAGTAGAATTTAAACGCATGACATATTAATATTATTTTATGTATGCGTACACGCTTTTTTTTCGATGTGTTTTTTATTTTGAGAAAAAGATTGTCACAATGATTTGAACTTTGAAATCAAGACTTTGATGTCTCAACAACCGTAATAGAAATTGTATTTGTAACATATTTGACTGAAATTTGTATATATATGAATAGAAAACATGCACACAAGGAAATGGCATCAATTGTAAAAGTAGTAGAAAATCTACTACTAAAAGCATATGAATGTAGTGGGATTAATTTCTTTTCTTTTCCAACTCCATAACTTCTCTAAAGGACAAAAGAGAAGCAAAAGAAAAAATGAGCAAAAAGGGTTCAAGTTATACATAAACTCTTCTAAGAAACTAAGCATAATTGTTCCTAAAGAAGCACTCAAATAGACCTAAACAAAGTAAGGAATATTTTCACTAGAGATAGATCCATGACTCATTGTTGTTTTGGATGGAGTGTAAACAGAAGAAGCCGAAGACGAAGAAAATGACGAAAGGATAATCGATTGAGAAGCCGATGCTTTTTGTGGTGGGGGAAGAGCAGGAGATGGAGGAGCTAAAGTTGGAAGAACAAGAGTTTGAGAAAGATTTTGGTGTGAGTTTGCATTTGTAGGCATTGATACTTGAGAGGAAATAAAATTACTAGCAGCTTCTCTATATTTGTACTTTAGTATCTCAGTTCTAACTGCATGTAGTTCTGCTTGTAATGATTGTACTTGCTGTTGTAATGATGATATTGCACCCATGCATCCATATACAGGATCTCTTAACCTCAAATTTGCTTCATAAACCATACTATTTGCTGCATCTGCTCTTTGTCCTTCAGGTACTTCCTAAAATTCAAATTATAAAACAAATCAATTTTTTATATGTAGTCGAATCAGTAATAACCACTAGAAATTCACACACAACTGCGAGTACAAGGATCTCGAGGGTTAAAAAAATAAAAGAAACAAATAAATATTTGGGGTTTGTTATTACTTACTAGTCCTATTGAAGAAAATAAAAGTGAATACTTGAGGTATGAGTTTAGGGACAATTACCAATAGCAACTTTGAGACATTGCTAGCACCAAACACTTTGTGAACAGCTGCAAATTTTTGAGGCTCATGAGGAGAAAAATAAGGAGAGAAAGGACATTCCTCAGCACACCTTCTTCTCAAAAGCTTACATGCAGCACAAGGTGTTACCGTGTTTAACGTTGTCCCTGAAGTTGGACCATAGAAATTCTTCCTTCCCATTTGAGAAGATGTTTCTCCTTCTGATAAGTTGATCTTTGCTATATCATCTAATCTTTCTTTGGTAAAAACAAAAGCAAAACAATATGTTACATAGTATTCTTAACCAAATCCTTTGTCTCATAATCGTTTCTTATACAGAAGAAACGATTACGAGACAACGAACGTAAAATTGTGTTTTATATATGTAAGATTCAAAAGGAAACAAAGAGATTATGTTTGTTTGCTAATGTTTACCTGTCTCTGGACATCCAAACATGCTTGTTGATTGTCTTGATCTAAGCTGTGATTTAGATGAGAAAAAACATTGATTTAGATGCAGATGGAAAGACACAAAAACAAGTAATGAAAGCAGTGAAAAAAGAGCTTATATGGTAAGGTTATAAGGAAAATTTGGTCAACGATCTTCATAGGAAATTATAGCCATTTTGGAGAGAGAGAGAGAGAAAGTTCTCTTTGTCAATGAGTTGCACACGTGTTAGTCTTTATGGAAAAATGACAATTGACTTTAGAAAAAACAAACAAAAGACATCATTGTCAGATTATTTATTCACAAGTTTAGTTTTTCTGAGTATTATTTGAGGGAAAAAATGCTATGGGCTACAAAGTGGTAATATGCCTTGTATTTCTCTTAAATTTTCAAGTTGAGGATATATATGAGGGACCACTTAGATTTTGCAATTCTTAACAATCATTGACTAACTTCTTCTCCCTTAATGGAAAGAGTTTATAATAGTGAACTTCAATTGGCATCTTTTTGTGAATTTTTTACCAACATACACTCTTTTTAGCAACTAAATCCCAATATACCATCTCATACATTCATTAATCCCAATATATCCTTTTTTCAAACAAATTTTTTTTTGCCACAACTCATCCGCCAATACAATGGGCGGAGGAGTGCATTTTTTCTTCATTCCGCATCTGCATTGGACGAATGTTGTTAAAAATAGAGAGCGTCCGCCCATTGGATGGGCGGATGTGTGCAACCGTAATTTTTTTTTCTAAATTAAATTGATATAATTAAATAATATATATTATAATTGAACAAAATACACTTTAATTAAATAAAATATACTATAAATAAACAAAAATTTAACTAAAGGACATAAATTAATTTTTTATTTTATTTTAACATATATAATTCCAAGACACATCTACTGTCGATTTTGACCAGGTCGTGTCAATCGTTGGTGAGTTCCACAAGCAGGTGCTCGTCTAGTACGTTGGCCTGTTCTGCGATTTCCTTCTTCATTTTATGGTTGAGTTGAAGTTGAAGGTCCCGCGTCACATCCGCCCATTAAAAATTCCTCAATCATGTCCTCATTGGTAAAGTCTGTCTCGGCTGCACTGCCATAACTTAATCTGGTTCCCTCCCAATTCCAATTTGGTATGGGATTAGAAGACATTGGGCTATTTATTGAGGGTTGGTAACAATCTTGGGAGGTAAATTGTTGTGGTTGGGGAATAGGCATTTGTTGTTGGGGTGTCTGATAGTTGGATTATGTGGGGTTTGTTGGGTGTCCTATTGGGTGGGGTTAGATGAAGGATATTATTGTTGGGTGCCCCATTGGGTGGGGTTAGATGAAGGATATTGTTGTTGGGTGCCCCATTGGATGGGGTTAGATGAAGGATATTGTTGTTGGGTTCCCCATTGGGTGGGGTTAGATGAAGGGTTTTGTTGTTGGGTGCCCCATTGGGTGGGGTTAGATGAAGGGTTTTGTTGATGGTATTGTTGGCTTGGGGTAAAAGGTGGTTGTGTTGGGAAGAAAGGTTGTTGCATAAAAGATGGTTGTGTTGGGAAGAAAGGTTCTTGGTTGCTCATGAATGGTTGTTGGGTGTAAGGGCTTGATGATGGTCTGGTGTGTTGGACGTTTGAAGATGTTGGAAAATTACGAGGGTCATATAAGAAGTTGTTTGGTGACAGATACAAATTTGTAACAGACTTATACCATTCCATGTATTTCTTACTTGGTTTACATTCTTCTGACATGACATCTCCTTGTAAGACTTTATTTTCGCGGTTATGCCATTGACGACGCTCCTGTTTGTAACAATCTTTCCAATTGCTATATGCCCATTGGTCGTTCACCACACTTTTGTGATACTCCTCCATGCACTGTGGAGCATCCAGTATGCCTTGCTTAATGCCAAATTGTAGTTTTACCCGATCAGAATGGTGCATTTCAACAGTAGTAAAACAGATGATAAATGTTTTTGCACTCCACACGTGACTATCGGTCGGATCGGTATCATCAAGTCCCAGATAGGGCCTCCATGTAAACTGTTAAAAAAATCAGTTATTAGTTTAACGAACTATATAAAATATGTAATACTTAAAATATGGTTAAGAATATTACATCAGATTCTTCGAAATGATCGATGAAAGTCCGATAGTCAGGTGCACAATGATGAGGAGTCTTTTCGTAATCCATCCCATAGGCAGACCATCTAAAAAAATGTAATACTTAAATATTGTTCACATAGTAAATAAGTTTAAGACAATGGAGTAGTTACAACTTACTTGGTTGCGTACGAAAAGTGAAAAGGATTACGATTCCTAGACGCTAGATTCGGCATCCTGGACCATCCCCAAGCTTGTATTAGTGTTGAACAACCAGCAAAATTATGAACATCTTTTTTGGCGCATCTACAAAGGTTTCTGTATAGATGCGATAAAACTGTTGATCTCCAACTGTATCTACCTATTTTATTAAAGTCAGCTAGTAATGGTAAATACATTAGATGTATTGTGTTACCATTCGTGTCAGGAAATAATAAACAAGCGAATAACAATAAAATATAAATTCTAGTTTTTTTATGAATTTGTTCTATGGTGGAATCTTGGTTCAAGTCAAATGCATCATATATTTCCCGGAGCCAAGTAATTTTGACGGATTGTCCCTTTCTAGCTCTTTCGGGCAATTCTTCACCCAAGAGTTCTTGAGTTATGGAGTAGTCAACATTTGTTCTCCCATTCACTACCAAACCGTTTACACATAAACCCATCAACATGTGGACATCTTCAAGGGTGACTGTGGATTCACCGGTAGGAAGATGGAATGTGTGTGTCTCCGGACGCCATCTTTCACATAAAGCGAGAATAAATTTCCTATCCACCTCATATGACGTTATGTTGAGAACGTGCCCAAAGCCCGCTTGCATCAGATATGGACGGATCATTTCGTCTACGGGCACATACGAGTGTGTACGAGGCCTAAATTTTTTCTCATTCTAAAAAATAAAATAGTTAATATTAGAATATGGTTAATGTCAGAAGTATATTCTTAAAATTTAAAAAAATTTATACGTAAATATATTCAATACTTACATATTGGAGTATGTTTGACAATGTTCCTCGTTGCTCCTCTCCATAAGTTAACAGAGACATTATAGAAAATTGAGTTTGTTGTAAAATTATGATGAGAAAGAACAGATAAAGATTGAGTATAATGTAAATTTTGAAAAAACGAATAGTATTTATAGAGAAAAAATGTAGGGTTTTACTCAAAAAATTTAATGGAAACCATAAAATGGTTGGGAGTAATAACTTTGCATGCACGCTGTGTACGTAAATTGTGCTTCATGCACAGCTTTACAGAGTCCGCCTACTCAATGGGCGGAACCCTTTGCATTTTCTGACACGCCGCAGATACAATGGGCGGACATGTTACTTTTTGGTCTGCCATCCGCGCATTTAATGGGCGGAAGCGTGCAATTTGGCCTGCCAATGTCGCAGGAGCAATGGACGGAGCCTATACGAACATCATTGCTTCCGCCTTCCCATTGGGCGGAGCCCTTACACAAATTAATGGCACCGCTTCTGCAATGGGCGGATGAGTTAATGTTATCAGTTTGACCACTAAATTCAGTTCTTCCTACGTTTATTTATTACAATATATTTACTAAACACAAAATATATTTCATTTAAATTCACTTCTTCCTCCTACTTTTTTTCATCAACCCAACCCATTTCAAAAACAAATTTCTCCTACAATTCAGATCTTATTCACTAACAAATCAACATGTCTCAAATACCTCAATATATAGTGGATGCTCATTACAATGGAGAGATCCTTATCTCTGATGAAATGGGCATTATATTCGAAAATACCGATATATGCCAGTTCAAATTAAGTAGAAATGCGAAGTTTGAATATTTGAGGGAGAGGATACAAACAAGGATGCAATTTGGAGCTATCTCACAAATTATATATCGAAATGCTGTTAATTTCGATGTGAACCAGGTGAAATATGTTCCGCTGAAAATCCGAGATGATGATTATGTGGAAATGATGTTTTACAACTATGAATTATCTGGGTTACATGCGATAGATTTATACATAAAATTTCAACTTTCTCAACAATCTCAAATCTCACAAGTGGCCAATCCCAATGATGCTGAGCCCGTGTCCATAATTCTCGAGGAAGTCGTTGTCGAAGATGACAAAGAAGAAGAGACTGAGTCACAAGCTGATGATTTATTCACTACTTTATTTGAAGACGGTGGACGTGACGAGGCGGATGCAATCAACGAAACTGAACAACACATTCCACTTGAGAATGTCTATTGTCCACCCGCCCACATGACCACTCTGGAAACAGCTAGAGACGAATCATCCTTTCAATGGCCCAAAAATCCTCGTCTTTCGCTGGAGGATGACATAGCTGTTGGGAACCAGTTCAAAAACAAATCTGATTGTGTCTTTGCGATATCCAGGTACCATATGAAACATGTCGTTGATTTCAGGGTTACATGTTCTGACACGAAGAGATATAAAATTTGTTGTAAGCGTAGTGGTTGCAACTTTCGTCTAGTGGCATCCTATAGGAAAAGGAGCGACCTATGGGAGATAGGAATCATGGAGCCCCCACATAATTGTTCAACGACCATCTTTAATCAGGATCATCGACAACTAAGCTCTCGACTGATGAATGAACGATTAATGCCTCTTGTTGAAAAAGATCCCTCTATCAAGGTGAGTGTATGTATTAACGAAATTGTTTCATTTTTCAAATACACTCAATCTTACAAGAAAGCATGGATTGCTATAAACAAAGCAATTGAACAAGTGTTTGGTAATTGGGAAAAGTCATACAATGAACTTCCAAATTAATTGTTGGCCCTTAAGAAGTTTGTTCCAGGCACTGTAGTAGAAATGAAAACACTATCAGTATATACAGATGACGAGACTATTATTGCTGGGAAACAAATCTTCCACCGACTATTTTGGGCTTTCCAACCATGCATACGTGGCT